AGTAGTCAGGAAGTGGAATAGTTTGGGAAGCGATGTACAGTGGACCCCCGCATACCGTTGGCATCACATAACGTTAAATCTGCATACCGATACATTTTATCGCTAAGATTTTGCCTCGCATACCGCTAAAAAACCCGCTCAACGCTATTCGTCTGAGATGCGTCAAATGTGCGGCCTGAGCCTACCTCACATGTTCTGCCGGTGGCATTGTTTACCAGCCAGCCTCTGCGGTAACATCCAAGCATACAATCGGAACATTTCGTATTATTACAGTGTTTTTGGTGATTTTATCTGCAAAATAAGTGACCATGGGCCCCAAGAAAGCTTCTAGTGCCAACCCTACAGGAATAAGGGTGAGAATTACTATAGAGATGAAAGAGATCATTGCTAAGTATGAAAGTGGAGTGCGTGTCTCCGAGCTGGCCAGGTTGTATAGTAAACCCCAATTAACCATCGCTACTATTGTGTCCAAGAAAACGGCAATCAAGGAAGCTGTTCTTGCCAAAGGTGCAACTGTGTTTTCGAAACAGAGATCGCAAGTGATAGAAGATGTTGAGAGACACTTATTGGTGTGGATAAATGAAAAACAGATAGCAGGAGATAGCATCTCTCAAGTGATCATAAATGAAAAGGCTAGGAAGTTGCATGAGGATTTAATTAAAAAATTGCCTGAAAACTAGTGATGATGTGAGTGAATTTAAGGCCAGCAAAGGTTGGTTTGAGAGATTTAAGAAGCACAGTGGCATAATAGTGTGATAAGGCATGGTGAGGCTCCCGTTCGGACCACAAAGCAGCTGAAAAAATATGTGCAGGAATTCAAGGATTACATAGACAGTGAAGGACTGGAACCTGAACAAGTGTTTAATTGCGATGAAACAGGCCTGTTTTGGAAGAAAATGCCAAGCAGGACCTACTTTTATCAGGAGGAAAAGGCACTCCAGGACATAAGCCTATGAAAGACAGGCTTACTCTTCTCATGTGTTCCAATGCTAGTGGTGATTGCAAAGTGAAGCCTTTATTAGTGTATCACTCTGAAACTACCAGAGCGTTCAGGCAAAAGAATATCCTCAAGGCTAATTTGTGTGTGCTGTGGAGGGCAAACAGTAAGGCATGGGTCACTAGGGACTTTTTCTATGACTGGGGGCAAATGCTTGGTGTAACCAATGTGAAAAAATTACCTAACTGAAAAGAAATTAGACCTTAAGTGCCTCCTGGTGTTAGACAATGCCCCTGGTCATCCTACAGACTTGTCAGAGCGACTTTCTGGGGACATGAGCTTCATTAAGTGCTCTCTCCAAAACTCTCTAAGAGTCAATTGAGTTTCTGAGGTCACTACAAAGCACCTTTCAAACAGAGCTTTTGTGTACAGTTTTTTGAAGTTTGCAATAACCTGCTGGTCCATGGGCTGCAGGAGAGGGAGTGGTTTAGGAGGCAAAAATTACCTTTACCTTTGACTTTTTAGGCCCCTCTCTGAAAAATGTCATTTTAGTCCAAATATTTTAAAAAAAAAAAAATTTTTTTTTGAAATGTTAAGATATTTTTCTGAGTGTTTTGTCCAAAAAAATAATTTTTGATCGGTACTTACCGGATAGAGCCCGGGGAAATTTGGCATTGAGCCGCGTATGGCAACGCGGGATGCGCCTCCGGTGAACTTTGTTTATTGTTGAAGGTTTTGTTGTTTTTCACTTTTATTTTCACAAATTATGTGGTATGGCCAAAGTAAGGGGCAATTTTTTCATGTTGTTTTACATGCAAAATCTTATCAAATTGTTTACAAAATTGTTAAAAAAACAAACAAATTTCTCTCTTACCCTTTTCCCCCCTAAATCCTTCCCCCCCCCCCACCCCCAAAACAAAAAACCAAAAACCTCCCCTTCAAATCCAAAAACCCCCCACCCCCCCACCCCACCCCAACCCCTCCCCTCCCCCCTTTCCCCTCTCCCTCCTCCTCTCCTTCCTCCCTCCTCCCCCTCCCTCCTTCTCCTCCTCCTCCCCTCCCTTTCCCCTCCTCCCCTCCCCTCCTTCTCCTCTCCTTCCCTCCTCCCCCTCTCCTTCTCCTTCTCCTCTCCTCCTTCTCCTTCTCCTCCTCCTCCTTCTCCTTCTCTCCTCCTCCTCCTCCTCCTCCCCTCCTCCTCCTCCTTCCCCTCCTCCTTCCTCCTCCCCCTTTCTTCCTCCTTTCCTCTCTCTCCTCTCCTCCTCCTCCTCCTTCTCCTCCTCCTCCTTCTCCTCCCCCTCCCCTTTCCCCTCCTCCTCCTCCTTCCCCCTCCCCCTTTCCCTCCCCCTCCTCCCTTCTCCCCCTCCTCCTTCTCCTCCCCCTCCTTCTCCTCCTCCTCCTTCTCCTCCCCCTCCTTCTCCTCCTCCTTGTCTTGTGTGGGAGTGTGTGGCTTATAATTGTTTTGAGTCAGAAGTCGGCAGCTGTCAAAGTGACATATTGTCTCATTAGTCACTGCCCCTCCCGCCTTTTCCAAACAATGGGGTCGGATGCTGCTTCCCCTCCTCCTTTCTACCCTAATTATTTTCTCCCTCAATCTATATCTTTCAATCTGTCTCTCTTTCTATCTGTCTGCCTATCTCTGTCTCACAGGTACACAAAAATAAAAGTATACATGGTGTAAATTACCTAGGATAACCCAAGAAATCCAGACAAAGTGCTATACTCTGCTTGAAGATGTGAGTAAACGTGATGACACGGGTCTTGTGGCTCTCTCTGAGACAGAGAGCTAGATGGACAGACAGGGAGTTTGGGACAGACAGACAAATAGACAGACAAATTTTTGTGTACCAGCAAAAACAAAGGGAGGGCGATGGTCATGTAATATTACCTCCTTTACACTCATCAAAGTTTCAGTTTATCTCCCCTTTTTCTTGTCACTGTCATGGGGGGGACTTTTTTTTTTCTTTCTTTAAGGAAAAAATATTATTACATCTTCTTCTTCTCCTCTCCTCCCTCCTCCTCTTCTCCCCCTCCTCTTCTTCCTTCCCTCCTCCTCCCCCTCCTCTCTCCTCCTCCTCTTCCTCCCTTCCTCCCCCTCCTCCTCCTCCATTGCTTTTGGTCTCAAACCCTCCAAAACATGAAATTGATCTTCACTGACACTTCCATCTGTGTTAGAGCATCACTTGGGGAAAAGAAGAGTCCCGATTTGTGGGGAATCGCATATTTCTTACCGCTAGACATGCTGAAAAAGGACAACTGAAATGGCATTCCCACAATGCACCACTGGCTCCCCGATTTTTTTTATATGGTGCACACTGACCATGGAGACCCATTCTCTCACATGTGGGCCTACCAGCTTTCTCCTGCTTGATTTGAAGCTGCTAGAATTTATGCGTATAAATACGTCAGAAACATTGGCTCGTAAGACGTATTTATACGTCGGAAACAGTCAAAGGGTTAAATATCCTCAATTGTGTAAGCCTTATAGGTAAGGCTTGGGAGGGAGTGACTAAGAGGACCTTGAACTCTGCTTGGAAGAAACTGTGGCCAGAATGTGTAGACAAAAGGGATTTTGAAGGGTTTGAGGCTAACCCTGGGAATCCTATGCCAGTTGAGGAATCCATTGTGGCATTGGGAAAGTCCTTGGGGTTGGAGGTTAGTGAGGATGATGTGGAAGAGTTGGTGGAGGAGGAGGACAATGAAGAACTAACCACTGATGAGCTGCTAGATCATCTTCATCAGCATGAGGCCAGACCTGAGGAAACTGCTTCGGAGGAGGGGAGAGAGGAAAATTTAAGAAGTTGCCTATTCAAAGATTAAGGAAATGTGTGCAATGTGGCTTAAAGTGCAAACCTTTTTTGATGACACTCGCCCTAACACAGCTATTACAAGCCGTGCTGGTGACTATTACACTGACAATGTTGTGAACCACTTTAGGAAAGTTTATAAAGGAACGGGAGGTACAGGCCTCTATGGACAGATATGTTGTGCGACAGAAGTCCAGTGACTTGAAGCTGGTCCTAGTGGTATTAAAAGAAGAAGGGAAGTAACCCCGGAAAAGGACTTGACACCTCAAGTCTTAATGGAAGGGAAATTTCCCCCTTTTAAAACACTAAGGGCTTCTCCTCCTTAAACCCATCAATCATCACCAGATCTTCAATAAAGGTAAGTGTCATGTAACTGTGCATGTCTTTTTCAGTTTGTGTGTATTAAAATTAATATTTCATGTGGTAAAAAAAATTTTTTTCATACTTTGGGGTGTTTTGCACGGATTAATTTGATTTCCATTATTTCTTATGGGGAAAATTCATTCGCATAACGATAATTTCGCATAACAATGAGCTCTCAGGAACGGATTAATATCGTTATGCGGGGGTCCACTGCAGTGGGGGCAGGATCCATACATAGCTTTAACCTGTAAACGGTCCAAGCAGATCTACGTTCACATGCATAGTGCTCCAAAAGCAGATCTACGTTTACATATTTTCAAATATAACAACAAAAAAAAGTAGATCAAAGTTTTTTTTTACATGTTTTCAAATGTAAAAAAGAAAAAAGAATATCTACGTTTTTTACATACTTTCAAATGTTGAAAAAACGTATATATACGTTTGGACCGTTTACAGGTTAAGCAGAGGTATGACAAAGCACGCGGTTCAGGGAGTGAGACCTAGTAGCGACCAGTGAAGAGGCGAGGCCAGGAGCTTGGACTCGACCCCTGCAACCTCAACTAGGTGAGTACAAACATGTTTGTATAACAGTGAAAACAAATAAAGCCAAGGCATTATATTTCATACTTTTGGTGTTATTAACTTTATAAAAAGATTCTCTGTCACTTCAGAAGAGAAAAAAAATTTTTTTTGGACACTGAGAGCAAGTTTTATTTTAGGGTTCTGATTTTGGATTTCGAGACAGTTTAAATCCAAAACTGTTCATTACTGTTATGATCATGGATAAAACAATCTCATCATTTGAATAAATGAACAATATGCATTACCAGACACCTTCAAGAATTAGTCCATTAAATCAAGGTATTCTTCTAACTTCCTAAGTCTCTATTACTAACCTTCTCTACACAAAGTTTTTCAAGTTGGTTCCATATATCAGCCTCATAGATGACACGGTAGTAGCCCTTCTGCTGTATATTCACCTTTACCCAAGTTACTCCTGGATCTACTTTCACTCTTACTGAAATATAAGAAAGACTTTGATAAGCTGTTCACACAGCCAATATTATTTGCAGATGACACTACTTACATCTTCTCTCGCCCAAATCCGACATTACTAACTGACACTGTAAATGCTGAATTACTGAAAATATCTACTTGGATGACTACCAACAAACTTACTCTTAATACAGATAAAACTTACTTCACGTAATTTGGAAACAGAGCTTCAAATGTACAGCTTAACATAATGATAAATGGTTCACCCATCTCTAGACTGACAGAGGGCAAATTTCTAGGTCCCCACCTTGACAGCGGTCTCAAATTCCAGACACATATACAGCAAATTTCCAAGGAAGTCTCAAACATTGGACATCCTTTCAAAGATATGGTACTATGTACCACAATCAGCTCTCCTTTCTCTGTACCACTTATTCGTTTACCCTTACCTCACCTATGGAATTTGTGCATGGGACTCAACTACAGCAAATCACCTCAAACCAACAAAAACTGGAGTCCGATTGATTTCTAACTCCAGCACCAGACAGCATACTCCGCCTCTATTCAAGAGTCTCAACTTGCTTAACCCTTTGACTGTTTTGGTTGTATAAATACGTCTTACGTGCCACTGTTTCGGACGTATTTATACGCGTAAATTCTAGCGGCTTCAAATCAAGCAGGAGAAAGCTGGTAGGCCCACATGTGAGAGAACAAGTCTGTGTGGTCAGTGTGCACCACATAAAAAAAATCCTGCAGCATGCAGTGCATAATGAGAAAAAAAAGACAGTTTTTTGGATTAAAATGCCAACTTTGAGGTGTATTTTCGTACAATATTTATCGCTGTATTCTCGTTTTCATGGTCTCATGTGATAAATTGTAAAATATATTATAGACATAGAGATGATTTTGATTACTTTCACGATGAAAACAACCTTGAAATTGAGCTCAAAGTAGCAGAAATGTTCGATTTTTACCAATGTTCAGGAGTAAGCAAATCACTTTCACTAGTGCACTGATATTATTTATACCATTTTTACAATAATGCAGTAGTCTGCATAACAGTAAATTTTATATTTTTTTGTTTGAATAAATCAAAATAGAAAGCAATAGTAATATAAGAGGGGCCTAGAGATGTGACTAATAAACAGAGGATATGTTACTTCAGTGCCAAGAATGTCTACATTGTTTATTCTGGACCCTCTTTTGAAATTGGCATCTTTTTTAATTTGCATGAAATTGGCCAAATTGCCAATTTCTGACCACTTTATTGGGTAGTTCAAATCGGTAAATGGGCAGTTTCTTGTACTCAATTGATAGAAAAAATGAAGTTCTAAATAAATAGCTATGAGTCTGGTCAACTGGAACAACGGAATTGGCCAAAAACAGGGCTCAGTGAAATCGCCGATGCGTATATGTCGCCAAGACAGCTAACTTCACGGGAGCGTAATTCCATGAGTTTTCGACCAAATTGCATACTTTTCATGTCATTACCATCGGGAAAAGATTCTCTATCATTTCATAAGAAAAAATAATTTTTTTTTTCTAAAAATTTTGCGACATAGAATGACAGTTTCATAAAGGGGCTGGCGACAGTCAAAGGGTTAATATACAAGACATTCACACTTATTATTGTGCCTACTACATACATAGAACACTGCATTCAAATATAAACCCTCCTCTCAAAATCTACCTTGACAACTACAGTGGCCCCTCGCTTTTCGTAGTTCCCGGCAATCGTAAATTTCGCCAATCATACGGTTATTTTCGTATAAACATGGACTCGCTTTTCATAAGTTGACTCGCGCATCGTAATTCGTCCCGGACGCATACCCACGGCGTGAGCCGTGGTGGCAGCCAGTCTGGCATTGTTTACCAATGAGCGAAGGTCCCTTCACGTGCTCCAGCGAAATATTTCATAATATTCCATTTATTTTAGTGCTTGCAAGTACTAAATAAGCTACCACGACTCCATAGAAAGCTCCTAGTGCCAAGCCTGTGGTAAAGAAGGTGAGAAATACACCCAACTATTATACTCTTTGTACAACTATGTATCATGTCAAAATAAAAATTATTATTAGTTGAACCCCTTTCACCTAACCAAAGAGAGAGAGCGAGAGAGATAGCGATGACTACAGAAGATTTTACAAGAATTGCTGGCTACACGTCATGGATGAGAAGAGACAGGCAAGGGAAAGGAGGAGGTGTTGCTGTGTGCTTCTCTAAAAGTGTACATGCCCAGCACACTGATGTTGCCATCCCTACTGATCTTGAAATGATATTCTTCAAGCTATGCATAAACACTAGTATCATTGTACTAGCATGTGCAATGTACAGATCTCAGTGGAAACATGCAGACCCCATCAACTTCCTAATGGAAAATGTGGACTCCCTTCTGCTCCAGCTGTCAATATATCATAATTGTTGGTGACCTCAGCCAACACCTTACACAGAGGGACTTTGATGATCTTGCGGTATTTGACATGAGAAACTTAGTTGATTTCCCTACTCACATATCTGGCTCCTTCCTTGACCCAATAGTGAGAGATCTGGCAGAAGGTATAGTCACTTGTCAACCCCTCAGCTATGTTGGATTGTCTCACCACAAGGCTGTTTTTATGACACTTAAGATCCCAACAGAATGAGGTGAGGAGTCCACATGCACAATCTGGCTATGGGAAAGAGGTAATTGGCCAGACCTTGGCTCTGAGCTTGCCACCACCGATTAGAATGCTCTTCTCCAAGGGGATGCTGACAACCAAGTGAAAGCCTTCACTGGACACAACCTTAATCTACAACAAAAACACATCCCTCACTGGCAAGACTCACAAAATCGTAATGACACGATTGCAAACAAACCATACCACGGGCGGGAATAGAACCCATGATCAGAGATTTCGTGAGTCATGTTAGCGACTTTGAGGGGACTTGAGCTAGAGTTCGTCACGGCCATGCTAGCTGGAGATTTGTCTGTAAAAACTTGCAAATGTGGTCACAGTGGTGCCTATGCTAACCTTCCTATGGTGTAGAAATATACCTAGTTGGATGAATCTTATTGTGGCTAGCTGGTCCAGTGGCTAACGCGACGGTCTGGAGTTTTGAGACTCTCTGATCGCGGGTTCTATCCCCGCCCGTGGTATGGTTTGTTTCCTCACTGGCAATATGAGATGAAGCCTACAGATCAGCCTTGGTTTGGCTTTCATTGTAGAGAGGTTGCTACTGCTAAGTACAAGGCATGGAGAAGGAATAAGAGACATCCTACTATCTATAACAGGAACTTGCACAGGCAAACCTGTAGGCATATGGGTAAAGTTCAAAAGTGGGCCATCGCTAAATGGGAGGTGGACACAAAAAGGTTATCTGCCTGATGAACTCATTCCACCTCTAAATCGACAGGATGGGGCCACCTCTACTAGTAGTCAAGAGAAAGCGGACCTCTTTGCCAAACCCTTTTGCAACCAAAATGAAATTTTCCCCTGGCCAGAAAGGGGACCCTCCTTGGCGGGCTGCAAGAACTTGTCAAAGCTGTCAGCATGAAAATAAGGCAAAAGGGGGGGGAAATTTCCTTCAAAAAATTTGCTTGACCAAAAAAGGGCTGGGGGGCCCAGAAAAGTTAAGCCCAAATTGTGAAGGGGAGCCCACCTACGCACTTCAACTCGGATCTTGAGCACTGGCCTAGACAGTGTAAATGGCCTTCTCTGGGGAAAGTGCAAATATAGCCCCTGTTCACAAAAAGAAGACGAGCAGAAATCAAAATTTCAGACCGTGTCACTCCTGCAATCACTGGCAAGATCTTTGACAAAATAATCCAAAACAAATGACAGTTTTTTGACTACCACTACATTTTGATAAATGATTTTTGAGAGGGAATTTCCTGTGAAATGGCAAATTTGCCGAGACACAAAATGGGTAGGATAATTGTTTCAAACGTAGTATCGGGGAACTTCAGGGGGGATTTAAAAAAACTCATTACCGGGTCAGATAATGGAGACCATTCAATGTAAAAATGCAAGGTTCTAAACTGGGGGAGGTCCACAACCCTAGCACTTATAATTTAAATGTGTGGAACTAGCCATACAGTTTGTGAATAAACGGGGGGTTATGGGGCAAAACCTTAAACCAAACAGCAATGCCTAAGCTACTAATAAGGCAAACGATTACTGGGTTTAATCAAAAAGTGAAGCAACAGAAGTTAAAGCGGTTATATTATGGCTTTATACATCATTAGAAGGCCTCGCCTAAAATATGCACTCTTTCGGCACCATTTTACAAAATGGACAAAATTTTTTAAAAACATTCACGTAAATGCTAAATTAACAGTAACTTAAAATCAAACTTTGAAGAAAATTGAAGCCCCTTAAATTACATTCACTTGTTAATAAGAATGAGGGGAGACTGATCGAAGGTATAAGGGGAAGAGGGGTATTAATAAAGAGGACATTAAAAAGGTCTTGGGGATTCTCCCAAGAGAAACCTGCAGTATGGATTTAAATTGACAATTTAGATTTAGAAAGGAAAAGGGAAAAGTTTTGGTTTGGAAATAGGGTATTGATGAGTGAACAGTCTACTAGTTGAGTTATTGGGGGCAAAAACCTTTGGGGTAGTTCAAATTTAGGTTGGAAAATGCACGAGTGAGAGGGGTTGGTTTTTGAGTGGGTCTTGCATATGGGTGGACAGTTTTTATAGACTTATTTCGGGGGTAGTTCTGAAAATCGGGTTGTGTAAATTTTTTTTGTTAGGGGGATGATTGTAAAGGACCGCCTAGTATGGGCCAACGGGCCCTTAAAGTGTTCCTCCTTTCTTATGCTCTTAACTGTCCAGGACTATACATTTGTAATATCTGAAAAACAATTATTTATACAATATATTAAATACATAGTAATTAACCCTTGACTGTCGGGGCCATATATAAAACGTCTTACAAGGTACCGGTTTGACGAAATATACTCATAAATTCTAGCGCTTCAAATAAAGCAGGAAAAGCTGGTAGGCTCACATGTGGAAGGGCTGGCGGTCAGGGGTTAC